AAAGGTTCTTGCTCAAAATGTTATCATTTCCTTAGCAAAACATGAGTGCCTACCCTAAATGGAACAAAGACTAGACATGAATACCCAAGTGTGAGCTTAGGTCACATTTTACTGCCAAATGAGTTGTGGTATCATAAAAAGAAGTTTTTATATGTTTTTAAATTTTGGAGTTGTGAATAAGAAATTATAGGCCCTTAGGTAACATGTATTGAAGATTTACTGTATGTGAGGCACTGTGCTAAATGCTTTATGCATTATCTCATTAAATCCTCACAATAGTTCTATAAGATAAGTATTTCTGACTCCCACTTACAAATGGGGAAAACTGATTTACAGATGAGTTATGTAACTTGCCCACTGTCAGACAGCTAATTAAGTAGTAGAAGTAGGATATGCACCAAAGCTAACACTTACTGTCATTAATCAGGTATTAGTCTCAGCACTTGACATGTTCTCATTTGATCCACATGCAGCCCTTTAAGATAGTCACTATTATTATCCCCATTTAACTGATAAGAGGTAACAGGCAGATGATATAATGTGTCTCACATTCAGTCTTTTTTTAATATATTTTATTGATTATGCTATTACAGTTGTCCCATTTTCCCCCCTTTATTCCCCTCCACCCTGCAAATTCCCTCCCACCCACATTCTCCTCCTTTAGTTCATGTCCATGGCTCATACATATAAGTTCCTTGGCTTCTACATTTCCTATACTATTCTTAACTTCCCCCTGTCTATTTTCTACCTACCATTTATGCTACCTATTCTCTGTACCTTCCCCGCCCCCATCCAGCTCCCCCACTAATAACCTTCCATGTGATCTCCATTTCTGTGATTCTGTTCCTGTTCTAGTGGTTTGCGTAGTTTGTTTTTGTTTTTGTTTTCCTTGAGTCCAGCTTCTTTGGGACTCTCAGAGCTTCCTGGACTTCCTGAAAGTCTATTTCCTTTGCCAGATTGGGCAAGTTCTCCTTCATTATTTTTGCAAATAAGTTTTCAATTTCTTGCTCTTCCTCTTCTCCTTTTGGCACCCCTATGATCCAGATGTTGGAATGTTTAAAGATGTCCTGGAGGTTCCTAAGTCTCTCCATTTTTTAAAAATTCTTTCTTTATTCTGTTCTGATTGTTTCTTTCTTCCTTCTGGTCCAAACTGTTGATTTGAGTCCTGGTTTCCTTCCCATCACTGTTTGTTCCCTGTAGATTTTTCTTTATTTCACACAATGCAACCTTCATTGCTGCCTGGGTCTTTTTTATGCTGTTGAAGTACCCAGTGAGTTCCTGGAGCATCCTGATAACCAGTGTTTTGAACTATGTATCAGATAGGTTGGCTATCTCTTCATCGCTTAGTTGTATTTTTTCTGGAACTTTGAACTGTTCTTTCATTTGGGCCTCTGTGTGTGTGTGTGTGTGTGTATGTGTGTGTGTGTGTGTGCCTCTGTGTGTGTGTGTGTGTGTGTGTGTGTGTGAGAGAGAGAGAGAGAGAGAGAGAGCGAGAGAGAGCGAGCAGGCCTGTTATGTAGTAAGGGGCAGAATCTCAGGTGTTTACCAGGATGGGGCAACCCACATAGCTCCATTGTGATGCTGTATGTGGAAGAGGGGTCCACTGCTGCTGGTCCGCTGTCTGCTGGTTTTCAGTCACTCCCCTGGCTATCCACAATCAAATTGGCCCCTTCTGATGCTGATTCCCAGGTGGGTGAATTTGTTGTTGTCCTTCTTTTGGTTGTACTTCTAGGACCCTGTGGGTCTCTCCAGTGGCCTCTCCTGTGAGGCCCGGAGTTTCTCCTGCTGCCATCTCAACCCCCACAGGAGTTTACAGTCAGAGGTTTTGAGGCTTTATTTCCCCACTAGAACCCTGGGTTGTGTAGTCCATCTTGCTCCCCAGTTGTTCTTCCCAGTTTATTTGCATGTGAATGTGAGACCACCCCATCTGCAAGACGCCACCTTGCGCAGCTTCACCATCTTGCTGCAAGTCCTCTCCACCCGGTTGCTTGTCTCCACCTCTCCTACTGGTCTGGATGAATGTTTCTTATTTAATTCCTTGGTTATCAGACTTCCACACAGTTCGATTTTCTGTCAGTTCTGGTTGTTTTGTTTTTAAATTTGTTATTATCCTTCTTTTGGTTGTATGACAAGGCACAGTGTGTCTACCTATGCCTCCGTCTTGGCCAAAGTCTCAGATCGTTTTTCAGTCTTATAGATAGTATGATTCCAAGACATGTGTGCTCAACTAGTATACTGTGTTGGATGAGTTCTTAGCAATAAAACAGCTGTCTGTGAGATTCAGCAAAATTCATGACCACATTAAGGCCACAATAGCTCTTTCCCAATGGATTTCTTCAAACATCAGCATTGATGTTGCTCTTACTTATATTTTAACATATTTAGTGCAGATTTTTTCATTATGTGGAATCATTTACTACATGTACCTTCACATCTGCTTGTAACTACCCCCTTATCTCAATGCTGCGCCTTATTTGTTAATAGAGGTTGAATGAGTACTTGTCATCATCTCTGAAATGTGTCTTGGCATGTTTGGGAGAAGGCACTTTTGAAGCCTCCCTCCTGTTGCCCTGAAGTAAATCAGTTCTCTCTAAGCCATTCGTGACATTTCACCTGGAGTAGAATGCTAGGCATAACCAACATTAAGAATGCCATCTTTGATGTTAAAAAGAGATGTAAATGCCAGCTTTCTTACAGATACTCAAAAAAACTATCTCATTCTTTAAGTAGCTCTTTTGGTCACTTGCTGAGCCTGGGAAGCAGGTCCTGTGACAGCCCTCACTCCATGGACTCCGCCACTCTCTAACAGAGCAAGTTTTGGTCATCACAGCCAAGCAAGAGGTGTTAAAGACAGTCTCACATGGGAGATAGCGAAATAGAGTGGAACTCACTGGGAGTTACAAAGTCTGTGTTTAAGATCATTGTCCCATTTGGCAATAATCATATTGCCACATTTGTTTAATCCAGAGAAGGAGTGACTAGTTATGCCAACACTGAAATAGCCTGCTCCAATGAAAATACCCCAGAATTCTTCTGTACCTTGGTATTATTCACCACTGTTCATAGCCTTCTACATCCAAGTGGTGTATGTGGCCCATTTATTCATAAAAATGGGACACAGTTGGCAAAACAAGGTAGTAGCGTTTTGTATTCTGCATTAAAGGATAGTGTTTCCTGCAGGCTAGCACTGTTGTGCTGCTTTGTGATACCAGTGTGTCATACAATTCTGGATCTTTGCTGAGCTGGCAACTGCAGTGGTTTAAGTTTCTTCACCAAAGCAGTAGCTGGACTCAGTGATGCCCTATTCAGCCACTGAAGTAAGGGCTTGGCCTGCCCTTTTGTCACATGCTCTTACTGCACAGAGGGCCCAGTGCTAAGGTACCTTCAGGAGATATAAATGGCTTTGCCTTCTTGTGACTGAGGCAGCGTGGTGCTGTGCTTTTTCTGGAAGCTTGTTGAAAGCCCTGCAGGGCCAAGGAGAGCTAATAGTTTTCCCCCGGTACTTGTAAAACTTTTTCTTTGCTCTTCATTATCACCTTTCCTCTTTGCTCCTCATCTCATTCACCATTGCTCTAATACTCCAGTGGTAAAAGAAAATAAACCCTCTCAAGAAAAAAACCAGTGCCATCACTACCTCTGAATGTTCCCTCTGACTCTACTGCACTCCATTGTCCTCTTCTCTACATTTTCTTCTAGCTCTTTCTGTTCCAGTTCATTCTCCAGCCACTTTTCCTGGTCTGGGCAGGAACCAGTCCTGGCACACTAAATGTATATACCATCTCTGATTCTTCTCAGAAGTTTTTCCTGTCCTTGCAGGCTCAAGAGCTGCTTATTTGCAGCAAGACTTTTTTTGTCTCCTCCTTTTACTTCCAGATTCAGTGCCATTCTGGTTGCTTGAGGTGGTCTAACCTCCCTATAGGTGACACCGGGTTGATAATGGTTTATACTTCACTTACACAGTAATAACCTACAAAATTACCACAGTGTGGTGCTGGTGGAGTAATTTGGAAGTATTGTGTGGGATTTTCTTTGAATCAAAGTTTGATATAGAGGTGGAGATTATAGAATCCTACATTCATTTTAATACTAGCCAGCCTGATATTGGGGATCAGCATCCACCTAAATTAGCTCATCAGCAGACGGCTCAAGGCCAAAAGAAATATGTAGGTTTTCATTTGTATGGGGTTTTCTTTTCCAAAATGATAGTTTGGCTACACCTGAAAATAAATATTGTAGTATATAAGTATAACTTAGCATATTAATTGACAGTTTAATTAAATAACATCCTCCCTCCTGGGCACCCTTGAATCATGAAGCTACACAAACACACACAGGACAGAAATGCACCTGGAAGGCAGGTGCATGTACAGTGCTCCCCAGCAGAGCACAGCCGCAGTCCCAAACTGCAAAGTGCAAGAGGTTTTTAAAAGATAAAAGGTGATTGTTGTCTTTTTATAGATTATCTTTTTATTGAATTTATTGGGGTGATATTGGTTGTTTTTATGGATTCTTTAGACAATTTTTTCTAGTTTAAATCATCTAGCTCCAGTATTTAAGATATAGCAGGGTATACTTTTTTGTTCCTTGGAGAGGGACTTGTTTTTACTCTTTGGTAATTAAAAGCAAGCCAAAATATATTTCACGCAAAACACAAATTGTAGTCAAATCAGGTATTTATTGTTTAAGGAGAAAATATGAAATGATTCAGTTATTTGGTACTGCAGTCAATACCTGTACGTACAAAGCAGTAGAAAAGTTAGTCCCAATGAGAAAGAAAGAGGTCCAGATGAGGTCTAGCCAGTCAGCCTCAGGAATTCCAAGTGTCTTGCTTTTCCCCCTTGTACTCAGAGTTTACACTAGGTGGCATACAAGGAAAGCAGAACAGGTTCAGAAACTTGGTTCTGTGCGTGTGGAATTCTTGGGCACCAGCCATGCTCTTGGGCTTGGCTTTGGAGTCAGCTATTTGATTTGTGATTGTTTGCTTTTCCTCTCACCCCCAGGATGAAGTGTCCTCTTGCTGGCACCAATAAAAGATTTCTCATTAACACAATTAAGAACACACTCCCTTCCCATAAAGAGCAAGACCATGAACAAAAAGAGGGCGATGAGGAACCTGCGAAGAGCCAGAACCAGAAAGAAGACAGCCGGAAGAAGCACAGAGCCCACCCGTACAAGCACAGCTTCCAAGCTCGAAGCACTGTCAGTCATTCTCCACCGAGGAAGCGGAGCAGCCAGGACAAGTACGAAAAGCGGTCAAACAGGCGATGAGGCAGGGACAGAGCAGGACCAGCCATAAGTGCTGTTACATGTGGTAGACTGGGGTGTTCAGAGAAGGTTGTTGAGGACATGTCCTGAGCTGGCAGAGCAACACCTCAGAGCAGTTTTTACAGAAGGTCCTTTGTGCTGTGACAAGCAGAGAATGACCTAGAAACTCTTCGAGGAAATTAGTACAAAGCAACTTGCTCTGAAGATGTCTTGGCAAGTTTAAGTTACTTTAGCAATGTAGTGTACATATGCATTGTTTCTATGTTATCTTGTTTAGAAATTGGTTTCAAAATAAATCTAGAACAAAGGTTTTCAGAGATTATTAAACTAGTTCCAGTTTTTTGGATGGGCTGCAATTGTGGTCATTTCTAAAATTTCTCCAAAAAATGAAATACTTGTAAATCTGACACTTTACCTTTTGGGATGACAGATTTAAAATTTAGAAATCATATTTAAGGAAAGTTGTAGCCTTCCAAGGGCTAGAAATTTACCAAGAAACTCTTTGATAACTCTGCATTTGTTTTCCTTTAAGTGAGCAATGTAGAAGCTCTTAAAATGGCTTTGAGTCATGTGCTCCCTGTCAGTAAGCAGAGGTTAAAGATTGGTCTGTTGTCCCTTGTGCATTCCCAAATTCATTCCAGAGTCAGAAGAGCTTTTCTATATTTAATTTTTAATATGTAAGCTTTAAGTGGTGCTTTAAAAAGAACTCTCAAAAGTTAAAGTGTACTCAATTATTTTAATGTTATGTCTTATTTAGTTAAAGATCTATGAAAACCACTCTTAGCATAGTTGTTTCAAAAGTTTTAATTTTAAATAAAAGTGTTTACAATGCCTTTCTTTTTGTTGTTGTTTTTTTCAGTATCAGTATGACTTTAACGTACAATTACAAACCTTCAAACCTATATTCTTCCTTTTATACTAAGGAAAATGTCACCAGGCACCCCCTTCCCCAGTCCACAAAAGGAAGAAGAATCTGTCTCTCTGTTCCCCCTCCCAGTTTCCACAGTGGCTGAGCTTATGCCTGGCTGCTCCCAGATAATCACTCTGTCGCAGTCCCGCTCCCTGCTTCCTGGCAGCCAAGAAAAGCCCTTTCTAAAAGCTAGAAAGGAGCACATCCGAAAATTTCGCTTTGGTGTATTTATAGAGAAACCAGAATAGATGTATTGCTCCCTCCACCATGCTGCTGTACCACACCCTCAGTCTGCTCTGAGCTGAAAGCCCAGAAGTAACAAACCCAGAGCATTCTTGCTCCATACACCCCTTCTCCCACCCAAGACCCTGGAACTCATTCCATCACTTTCAGGCACACAAAAGGAATAATTTGGTTCATATGACTTTATCCCAATCTAGTTATCATTAGCCTATATTATTTGTGCTAGGTTTGAAATGTTTTGTATTTAAATATTTATCAGAGTTGTGAAGGTTTTTAAAATTCCTGTTAAGTAAAACAATGTTGAATCCTTTGCCTATCACTCTGTATTTAGAGCAAACTGGCAAGTTCATTTTCCTTTAAAAGGGGATGATTTTAATGAGCATATTCTTATACTCAAGAGTAAAGGAAGCTCATAACTAATCATGCTTACCTTTCCTATATAACTGTTAAAGGGTGAGTGTTCTACAAAATCATTTTCCCTTTAAAAAAGCTCTGTTCAATTTATGAAAATTTTATTAGAATCTTTAAAAACCTTCATCAAGGGTAGCCACGGTTTCCTGTATATAAATGTTAAGAGCAAATTATCTTTTCTTACTCCATATCTATACAGTAAATGTTAAGGAAGGATTGATCCTAAGAGATACACACCAGCTACCTCCTACTTCTATGGTTAACATACTGGGCCAACCGAGCTTTTGTTCAGCATTACTATTTGCTCCACAATATAACCATATTTAGAGATCACACAGCCCAGGATAGAAGTTAGACAAGTTAAACCTTAATCGTGCCTCTGCTATCCGCTACCTGTGGCCCCTTATCTGGGTCACTTCTCCGGTCGTCTTCCTCATCCATAACTAAGATGTTTGGACTGAGTGTGTAATTTTTAAATAAGACAAAAGTGAAAGATGTTTAGCCCTAAATTTTAGGAACTGCTTTTCATGCTTTCATTAGAAACCAGATGCCTGGCTGGCGTAGCTCAGTGGATTGAGTGCGGGCTGCGAACCAAAGCATCGCAGGTTCGATTCCCAGTCAGGGCACATGCCTGGGTTGCAGGCCATGGCCCCCAGCAACTGCACATTGATGTTTCTCTCTCTTTCTCCCTCTCTAAAAATAAATAAATAAAATCTTTAAAAAAAAAAGAAAGCAAACAAGACTTACAAATGTGACTTAGCAGAATTTATTTTATCTCATTTTGTAAAATATACTGTCTAAAAAGAACATACTGTCTAAGAAATATGAATGAAAAGCTGTGGTCTCTGCCACAGCCAGTCGCCTGTTAGTAGCTGGTCTTTCCGAACAGCTCACACATGATGGGGGAGGGTCCTGGGGTGGGTAGTTTTACTTAGAGTAGGTTGAGTCCGAAAAGGCATTTCCTCAGTGCAATTCTGGAAGATGGCCCTGGAGTTTTGAATTTCCCTGTGATTACTATTACTATTTTTCAACTGGGTTGTGATGGGGAGCAATAGATCTGCCTCAACTCCACTAGGTAGAATTTATCATTCGTTCATTGATTTTTGATGTGACTTAGTATGACACTTACATTTTTATATTATAATTAAAATACCTATCACTCCTGGAGGTCATGCCATTGTCTTTGGGTCATAAGGAGTATCTGGTAGGTGATCAGCACTTGTTTGGTAGGTATTACATGAGGTGAATTCCCAATAAAGAGAAGCCTCACCACCTTCCTACGGATTGTTAACCCCACAAGTAGTCTTACCACAAGGTAGGCCGTACTGAACCTTGTGGACAACAACATTTATTGTCTACCACTTCTGGACCAAAAATTTTTAATCCCTTTTCCCCCCAGCTTTATTGAGGTATATTTGTCATACAACATTGTGTTAAATTAAAGGACAGTGTGATGATTTGACATGTTATATTGCAAAATGATTACCACAATAAGGTAAGTTAAGACATATACTACCTCACATTTACCATTGTGTGGGCAGGGGTGGGGGCGATGAGGACATTTATGATAACCCTTTAACCTGTGTCCACATACTCAACTCACAGTCCCATGAAGAATGTGTGATTGCTCTCATTTTACAAATGAGGAAACAGGATAGGTTAAAAAGTTTGCCCTAGGTCACGGAGCTTGGAAGTAGCAGAAATGCTATCAGAAGCCAGGACTGTCTGAATCTAAAACCTACATTCTTCCCTGTTCCATTGGCCATTGATCCAAAACTCAGCTTCCTCGGAACACAATTGGCATATCTCAATGGCCCAAGGAGTCCCAGTTTAAGAGCCTAATAAGGAACTTTTATAACCAATGCATTTATATTGGTTGAAATTTACTCCTGGAAACCTGAATGTAGAGCCCTGTCCAAGGGACATTTGCTGTGGGGCAGTGCTTTTCTGTGGTCCAGTTTAGACAGCCATTTAAATCCAAGAGAAAAACTCACCATTCTGTTGTTAAGTTGTGAAATGGCAGCTGATGGAATATATCGAGGAGAAACTAAACTCATGTGAAGCAAATATTTTAGGTTCTTTTATATGTAACCTCTCCTTTTTCCATCCACGAGAACAGCAAGGTTTGGGAGTTAAGGAGTCTTAGAATCGAGGCCTCTTTGGTACTATGAATGATATCCTATGATCCAAGGAAAGTATATCACCCCTCTTCCTTCCCCACCTGGAGAAGGTGTGCGAATACCTCATAGACAGCCCTGCCCGATGGCCCATCTGAGTCTAGACGATGAGAAGACTACTTTGCCAAATGGAAACTCGTTCTCAATTTGGAAAAGACTGTCAAGAAGCATGCTCTCAGACACACAGAAACACATAAAGAGGTAAGTGAATCTACATTAAACTGGCAGGAAACATTGTAAACATAATTTAAAAGAATTTTATAAATAATTTTGATTTGGATAACCATGCTATAGACCTCAGCAGAAGGCCGTGGGCAGTATCACTAAAAGGCCAACAGTAAACATAGATTTGAGCATACCATTAATTGTCTAGATGAGTGATTTCTCCCATCTGTCTAGCCATATAATTTTCACCTTTGGTTTTTATAACATAAAAATTTTCTACATGAGATGAACTCCAGATATAACATATCCTAAAAAAGTAATCTGTCTTTCATAAATTATTTTTTCTCATTAATTCCTTCAGTGTTCAAGATGAACTAGTATGTATTGTCCAATTATAAGACTTCATTTATTCCAAATTTCAGATCTATTAGCCTGATGGATAGTCTTTCAAAGCTCAGTGCTAATTTACAAAGGAAAAACTGCAAGACTGGCTTTTAATCCTATGCCCTACATGAAAAGCAAACCATTCATTCACTCACTCACTCATTCAGTAAATACTTAGAGAACCAAGCACGTATGACAAGAACATTCTGGGTCCAGACCTGAACAATTCTGCTCCTGTCCTCAGTATCTTCTAGGCCATGTTGTGCCTTCTAAATTTAAAGCTGCAGAGTATTCATACAGCACAATATTTGCTTCTCAGAATGTTTTTGGCCCTGCCTAGGATTGTCCAATCTTCCACACTTGGGAAGCAGTTGGTTGTTGGTCTGGGGCATGAAAACACACAGATGCTATCATCCTCGTTTTTTAAGTCAAAGTTTTTATTTTTGTGAGTTCTAAAAATAGGTATCTAATGAATCTTAAAATATGTATGTGGATATCAAAAATAACCAACACAGAAGGCAACTTATAACATATAACCAGCTCATGTAAAACTGTTAGAAACACACTAAGAGCACAATAAAAAACTGGCAAAAGATGAACTATTCACAGAAAATACTAATGTTCAATGGTCATATGAAAAAACATTCATCTCACCAGTTAACAAAAAATGCAAATTAAAATGGTTTTTTACCTTTGAAAATTAGAGGGTTTTTATAATTTGGGTGACAACAATGTAGTGATGCAAATTCTCTTGAAAAACTATTAGTAACAGGGTTAAATGTCTCAATATTTCTAGGAATCTTTAAAATGTTCTCTTTTGTTAACAAAGAAATCCTGCTTCTAAGAGTTTCACAGGTTTTGTGTTAAATTTAGTATTGATATATATCCTTATCTAGATATTTGCTTAAGCTATTTTCTTCTAAATTATGTCACTTTTCTTGCCCTTGTTTTAATGGTTCTGAGTGAACAAATGTAGCAACAATATCAATGTAAAAATGTGACTAAATCACAGACCTCTTTTCTTACATGTTAATTACATTCATTTCCCCATGTTCTTTATAGTTCTGGTCATACATTATAAGGTTGGGATGGTCTTTTATAGGTTGTGGTATCTGCTCTGAATTAGTGACCAGTAAGTGATTCTTTTTCTCCCAAAGCCAGAACACACTAGGTCTGGAAAGAAGGAGGATGTGACAAATCTCATCCTCATTTTTAAAAACACATGCTCCCTATCCCTAAATCTCCAAGCTCTGTGGTCAGTTTTAGTGTCCTGTGGAGAAAGACCACTACCTGAGGTAGTGAGACCAGTGAATTGAAAGTTAAGACTACCCCATGGCTGTTCCAGTCACCTCTTAGCTCACCCTGCTAAACTGAGAGTTTGACCATAAATATTAAAAGAAAATTGCTACTACATCTTGGGAACTGAAGGAAGCTTAAGAGGAATTCTGCACCTGCATGAGTGATCATACTCAGGGGTAAAGGTTAGTGAAAGATTACCACAGCTTCAAACAGCCATGACCACATAGGCCAGAGTCATGCCAAA